TCTACTCTGTGGTTCAGAATAACTTTTTAAAATATAAGTCATTAGTTTATGAAAATAATTTGAAAAAGAACAGAGCGTGCTCTAAACATACATCTACTTAAATATCATAGCAAGAACTAAATCCAATTTTCAAAATATCTTCGTAAAAGACAAAACTTCACTTAAGATTTGCTTTAGTACCCTCAAAAATATATAATTTTCTTTAAACATTTATATATTGCAACAAATAATACGCAAAGACTGGCGCTCCTTAAGGGCTTGTATAGGAGAGAATAATTCTTCTATTCAATGATCTAATTTTGTCATGATATTTCCATTGATTATTAACATTTGCATAGTATATTAAGGAGTTCTAAATTAACTGTTGATTAATTATTTACAATATTAACGATAATTGCTTAATTTTCACTAGAAAATGTAGAGAGATCTGAATGCAGTGTAAAACATTTTGTGGGTGAAAGTAATGTTAAACAGAATTTAAATATCTGAGCAATTTGACTAGAAAATAAAATAATTATCCTGTACATTTCATATGAGACCTATCTTGTTTTATGTTAACATCTGTAAATTTTAGAGAGAAGTAAAGTGAAAATTAAACTATATCTGTAGTTTGTATCACAATAAATCTCTAATTAGAAATACAAATACTTACGATGAACTTCATTCACCAACTTAAAAATATAATGTCTCATAACCAAACCTAGTTTATAACTTCGTTGATACAGAGTTTTGTACAAATACAAATCAAGCTACGCTAACATTTCTATATTATTTAACAGTGAACTTACAGTTTTACTTCGGCCGAGTATCTATCTGTATATTTAACATACGCATAAGAGTAGACTGAACATATATCTTTCAAGTATAATGTAGAAAAATCAACATGTGAGTGCATTTAAATTGTAACGCATTTTGTATAACTGTGTAATTTTTTGTCAAAATTTCTTTGTATATCACCAATACGAATTCAATACGTTACGCTGCGATATAAACTACAATTGATATATAATTTTAAACTTTAGTTATTGATGTAGTAAGTAAAGCGAAATTGTAATAAAAGAAATATCGGCAATTATCAAATCACTTTCCCTACTAGGAATGTGCATTCTAATGCATATATTGTCTTTTTTTCATTTAAAATTATATTTGTTTTCTAATAATCGTTATAATTCTGTCTTAGTTTCCGCGATACAAACAAGTACTGTTCATCAGCGCGAAAACAACTAAATAAAAAATTAAAAAAAAAGAACATACTGACATTGTCATTGATAAAAGAAGATAAAATTACATGTTGACGCTTTTTGTTATCATCTTAAATAAATTATAATATAGTTTTTAAATTATCGTGCATCATAATTTCCTTTTCTGCTTGTTATATTAAATGAAATATCCTTAATAAATTATATTTGAAAAATTATTTTTTTACTTAACTGTAAAACGGATCTAGTAGCTTATTTAAAGATCCCTTCCTTTTCGGATGGCAATACCATTTAATAGCATAAATAAATTGTTATCTAGATTTTTAATGTTTAAAAGATCTAATTCATTATATATGGCATGTCAAAGCATTTCAACCACATTAACCACAAGTGAATAATAGGAATTGAGATAGTAATTAGCATTGTTAAATATTCCGCGAGCTTTAAGGAGTCAATAAGATTTATGCACAAACATATCCATTTTATTTATACATATTAATACTGTTGAATAAATCTTTCATCAGTATCCATGTGCATGCCATTCCTCCTGGCGTAAATAAAAAACCTTTACCCATATGAAACGTCTGCAATGGCATTCTTTCAAATGAAAATGAAATGTTTAATTTCCGTTAACAGTATGATAATTCTTATAATAATCTCTTAACAATACAATTTACATAAGCATGTCGATAAGTTCAATATTTCTACTGGAAACATGTACATGTGAAATTATATAATTATTTTATACATCAAGAAAAAAGAATTAGAATATTTCGGTTTTAATTCTTAAATAGGCTATGAAATGTTGTCGCGTGTGCACAATATTATTTTTTTATTTATTGGGTGTTAGGCTCGGATCAATTTAATCATCTACACAATTGGTTTTGAATAACCAAATAACATGTCTAAACATTATTATGCTGACAGTGACGTATATTTAATAATCTGAAAAGAGTTTGTACAAAATATTTCAGTTCTTTTTTACAATTATCGTTCTTAGCTAGGTATCTTAATTTATACAAAAAACTTGTAAGGCTAAAATTGTACATAAAGGAAAATTAAAATAGTTCTTGGAAAAGGTAAAACTCTTATTTCTCTTACATATGAAACTGCTCATCATTTTCAAATACTTTCTTTTCAGAATACTTTAATTTTTACTAAGTAAAGTGATATAAAATGATAGTTTCCATGATAATGTCCATACATTGCTGCCTTTTTCTGCAAATAAAGCGGAGGTTTGTCATTAACGCCACTTTGACAATTGGCTTGTTATCGAATACGCATCCTACATTTAACTAATAACTAGTTTGTTAAAATATTGAAATAATTAAAATCCTATAGAGTAACCAGATTTAAAACATTTAAATAATCATTTTGATATCGGTTTTATGGATATTTGTTTTAATTTAAACAGTGTGTAAAATCCTTTGTAATATTCAGAAAAAAATTTAGTTTAAACATATTTTATGTCAAACATTTTACCACAAACATTTTTTACGTACAATCAATTACTAACAATGATGAAAAAAGGGTCAGATCCGAAAGCATACAATGCTTATTAAAGTATTTTCCTAACTGTAAATTTAGCGGTAAATTCGAAATATATCATAAAACAAGATAAGACTGAAAATACCCCAGTTATAATCCGAGCACGATAAACAAAACTTTCTTCATATTTATTTATAGTACGAAACAGTCTATATTAATACTATAAAGGTAAATGAAATGTTGTACATCTCAATGACGGTACGTTTGATTGATAAGTGTTACAGTAAATAATAAATGTCGCAATAGCTCAATCGGTAAAGCACTATGCTCAAAAGAAACCTACTCCTCGACAGGAGGGTAAGAGGCTTCAAAAAAGTTTGTTTTCTCATTTTCTCATGTTTTCCCCTGTAATATATATACACACACGAAACTACATAACGATAATTCCTTTTGTTTATTTTTCATTGATGTAGTTATATTTCTTTTAAAACAAAGTATCTTCACCTCCTTTATTTTATGTTTTGCATTTCATTTGCATTTCATTTTTATACATATGACACAGATAAACAAACACTTGAATGAAATTCCTTCGCCGTTTATGTTGATTATGTCTAACCAAGATCCTGTTCAATATCTACCATTTCACTTTATAAACAATCGAAAACACTCCCATTATATAATTCATTTAATTTATCATGCTTTCTGTATTGTATCTTCTGTATTGGTAAAACTTTTCTAAAAAAAAAACGGATTTTTACGACATTTCTTTTTGTAATGCATCGCTACAATTTTTTAATTTTAATTTAAATCGGCATTTATGACTATTGTTAGTTTGCTGGTATAGATAAGGTGGAAATTTGTCAAAAGGCTTATGGAAATATTTGAAAGACGAACAGAATTATCCTTTCCTACCTAGTTTAATCGTTAACAAAGTAATTACAGATCATGAATTAAGAAAACAAACATTAAATCTTGTTCTCTTGAGATAAGTAATTGTTGAAATGTGAAATATAACAAGGACGAGTTTGATTTGTTAGAATATATTAAATTCCAGTTTTGTACAATTTCAATCAACCTGAGGAATTGAAATCATAGTAGATAAACTAAAAAAGAATGTTAGCTGAAAAATGAATGTCATAACACCCGACTGTTCTTTGTTACGAGAATTTGCCAATAAAGATATCAAAGTCTGCATCTGTCTCATTATATATTCACTAATAATTATATTCACGCATATGCATCACGATCGTGAGCAAACGGGGTATATTAAGTCGCCAAACGAATTTCGGATATATGGATCTCGGGGCGTCTTCACAAGTGCAGAAATATATACTTTAATATTGTCAATTTCTGTACATGAATATCTAACTTCATCAAATTCAAAGCAGATGGTGCATTGGTGCATTCGGATAAGCTATTTCTCGAACAATATGATATCTTTGATCCTTGAAGATCGTTCAGCACGTCCTTATTAATGTGTGTGTATCTTTTATCCCCTTCTAAACGAACCTTATTTAGTTGGGCGGCTCCAATATGCCTGCTTTTTGTCATAGTGTCAGTGATATTCAGACTTCATAACCTCTGGCCTCCTTTAAAAATGACATTTTTTGGTTCCGTCCCCCTTTTTCTTGTTTCGGACACACGCATTCTTACTAGGGTACCAAACCAGTTTTCACGAACAGATATGCGGATGTTTTAATCTCAAAAGTTAAACATTTACATGTTTAAATTTTGAACTGTGATTAAGCCGTTGCTAAGGAACGTGCACTTTCCAGTACTGTCCATTAACTGAGTAAATGCAACCGAGACTGCATAATTGTAAATTTAACTGCTTTGGACATTGTTTAACGATCAGTTTTCTCTATAGTACACATTTCGTTTTACATTTTCGTTGTTTATGTATTTGTTTAAGCATTTCTTAAGAGCCTACTACAGATGAACAGACAAGGGATATTCATGTTTTACAATTTTAATCAAGCAAACTACATTTTCATATTTCCAACAATGCGTTTATTTCAAATAAATTTCGTCAAAGAAACAAAATCTTTCGGTAAGTGATAATTAAGACAATAAGATAATTTATATTTAATGACCTTCATAATAACCGAGATGTGCCGACTGATAGTTGAATTATAAAAATAAGGTTATATTGGATACGACAATATGGATTAACATACAATTTATAATATTGTTTGATCATTATCATTCTGCACAATTATATATTCCTTTCAAATGTAAAACATTACGTCATATATAAAAGATACAAACAGATGACAAATAAAAAATGATTTGACCCGAAGAGTAACTACTCGAGTTATTCAGAACCTACTGATTGTGAATATATTTAAACATCTAAAGCCAGATTCTTAGGTACTTTTTGCCTTGAGTCGGAATATCGCATCTACGCCACAAGGAACCATTAAGGTGCGCGTATCTATGATGCCCGATGTTACCCTCGTCATGATTTCTAATGAACAAACAAAAATCTGAGTCAGCGCTATTCCTTTATTTTACTTTGCTTTAATACCGCTCGGAAGAACTCCATTATCCACTATAACTTGAAAATATAAGAGAGATCTGGCATGTTTTCAATATTTAAAACTAATAAATAAGCAAGCACAATCTAGGGCATATTTTTATGTGTTATATTTTGGAATATTGCACACAAAATATACATTTATATCAATAATATTTTATGTATTGAGAATGTATGTATATAATGATTCGAGATAGTGAGCTACTCTTTTACAGTCATGAATGATGACATACTCGAATGTCTGCTCCACACATCTATTAGGTGTTCCTTGGCCATATATGTATAATATATCAGACACGTTTCCTCCTGGAACTTTACACTGAGGATCTTGGTTTTGAGATTTCAAAAACATTTTTATTGTACACATTGCTTCATATATATGATCTTGAGTAAGAAGCAAAGAATCTTTCGCTGTCTTCTCAGTTATTATGCCACGTAACACTTCTACGTAGTTGGCAAGACGATTGAGCATATCATAATGATCCCGTATCATTGTGAGGAAGGAAGGGTCTTCATTGATGTACTGAAAATCATGTACATTGTGCATTATCAATGTTATGAATAGAGATACATAAAAAGGATAACAAATTATGACATAATGTTAATTTCAACCATTCTTAGTGACTTTAAATATCAGGATATTTGTGTAACTCAACCGTTTGAAACCGTGGCTAAGAACATAAAAATATTTTTGAGCAGTAAAGTTTGAGCGTGTACACCACATATATACATAAATATATACTGCTCTTTTAAATGTGTATTAATAAAAATATACACTTAAAATATTGAAAACAATACTTACGCTGCCAAGAAAAGCTTTTTTGTCTAACAAAGGGTTATAGGGAACAGTCAAAAAGCTTCCATCCTCCCCATCAACACAATAATTTATTTCCATCTAAAAAAAGTTGAAAATCGATAGTAACAAAAGTAATAAAAGGTGTTCCCAGGCACAAGTAGTTAACCAGCAAAGTGCCACAATGTAAAAGTGTTAAAACGTTTATTTTCGGTATGCATTGAATAATCTCTTATTAAAGAGGAATTAAAGGAGATTGACTAATAATAGATCGTCATGATAATAATATTAGAATAAGGAAAAAGAAGGCATTCTATAAAATTCATATAACCAAATCCAGTTAAGAATGATGCCGAAAATAATTTATGATATGCATTTAAACAACAAATCTTAAAGTGTGAACATAATGCGTATCTTTATTCTTTTTTTAATATCGCCGTTATCGGATAATATTTTAACTTAAAATTTTGATAAAATTAATAAACAGAAAAGATAATTACAATAAAATCACCAAATTTACTCTGATGTTCAGAATTATCACAATTATATAAGATAGATAAGTGCTTGAATCGGTTAAACATTTTAATTAAAACTCAAGTATGCATAGTTCTAAAATAATGATAATTGTGAGCGATGTTTAATATAATATCTTACCACTTTTAAAAGAGATTCGGAGTGTAACTTCAGATCATTTATTTCTTTCAAGACTGGTTGTAAAGACGCCATATCCATTGGTTTCTGTATAACCGGTGGTTTGTCATCATTCATAAAACAAGGTGGGTTTCCGACGTCACTTCCAAATGTCGAGGCAATGCCAAGAGCTGTCACATGTGTAACTGGAAACAAAATATTCCATAATTTAAGCATTTATGGTAATATACTAAAAACTGAAAACGAACTACAACGGTTTCTTTTGCTATTTAAAACTATTTTCAATTTATATTTAGATAGAAAATAAAATAAAAAATAGATATATCTATAAACGCACTGATACTTATAAATTTCATTTTTATGAATTATTCTGTTGAGCAATGCTTCAAACCAATATGATTCGGAAAGTTTTGAGAAACATTTATATACCTGCAATTCCACTTCTGGTCCACGCATTTTAAATCGTTAAAACTCCCTATTGACATTTTGGACGTATCACGCACAAATAGTTTTGTATCGTTCACATTTTGCTTCATGCATAATGAATAATCAATGGTGGTTCACATAGTAGGAACCCAGTGTTTCGCGTAAAGTAACGAGTATGTGGGTACATAACAATAATAAAACATAAATATTTCATTAATATGATTAACACGACAGAAATAGAAATATTAAAAAATATGTTTGCCTTCGCAGATTTTTTATTGAATTTCATTATGCGTGTTTATTTGCTAATATTTAATTTATATAGTATGTTAGTCGGATTGTCTGATGTTAAAAATGTACTTAAGCTGCTTTTCCTTGCAACTGTTATTGCGAATAATATTGTATAGTTTGATATGACGTAGTGTTTAACTCTTTAAAGTTATCCTAATGAAGTCAAATTGCATTTTTTATGCTTTTTAATATTTATGTAATAATCATTCAAGTCATTAAATATGTATATGGCATATGATTTCCTTCTCTACATGCTAATTGCTAGCTTTTCGTCAGATAGATGCATACAATTGGAACGACAAAAGGTCAACATGCTCATGTGAATCAGTTTAAAGTTTATCGCATCTTCTTTCACTATGTGCTAATACAGTATTGTTTGGTCAAAATTGTTTTGCTTATAAAGCTACACTTACCATAAAACAATGCTCTTTAACTTTGTATCTTACTATTGCGTGTTCAGTAGGCTAAGCGTAGATATAAAATACGATATATAGTTTTTATCTTTTTTTGCAGAATATGTAGGAAAAGAAATATCGGCAATTTTCAAATCACTTTCCTTACAAGGAGATTACATCTCTAATTCAAGGGCAGATAAATTTAAATCCCCTTTTTTCGCTTAAAATATTTCTGTTATTATATTCTTACAACATGTCAAGTTTAAGGAAATTCTATTGAGCAGTTTTAATTTTGACTAAATGTCTACTCGTATATGAAAACTCCCGAAAACGTTCATAAGAACATACTTTCATTATGAGTGATAAAAAGGCATAAAATACTACGTTTATGTTTTTTTATTATAATTTTTAATTCCTGAAGTGCTACAAATGATAACATAGTTTTAATTGATCGTGCATCATAAAAATAGTTGGTATGTTGTCTATTTGTTGGTATATATTTGCACATTTTTGTTATCTGTTTCATATATAAAATAAATTCTCAACAACAGCTAATACGTTAATAATTTAAAGGCAGCAATAACAACGTAAAACGGTTCTAGTAGCTTTTTAAGGTAGTATCCTTTTTTGTAAGCAATAACATTTAATAGCACAATAAGATTATTGCCTAGATTTTGTTCTTTTTATTTGTTATTGCTTTTTCTGAAGATCTTATTCATGATAAATAGCATGTCAAAGCGTTTCAAGTTAATTTACGACAGTTGAATACAATGAATTGAGATAGTCTGCTACTGAATAACCAATTAACATCGTTAAATATTCCGCGTTCTGTTGATCACAAATATTGTCATATTGAAAACTGTTTCCTCCACCCGGTACTTTGCTATTAGGATCTTCATATTGAGATTTCAATACAATTTTAATGGAACACATGGCATCATAAACTAGGCCTTGGATTTCCAGCAATTTCTGTTTTGCATATCTATCAGCTGCTGTTTTAGAAAGTTCTTCTAGATTGTCAGTGAAACGATTAAGCATCTCGTAATGTCCAGTTATCGTCTCAAAAAATGATGTTGGATTTCCAATGAACTGTGAATAGAAATAAAGTAAATTAATGGTAAAGAATGTAACATTAACCTAACTTATATGTATATTTTAAATATTCAAGTAATTATCTTTGCAAAAGAGAGAAAAAAAGGAAACTCCAAAAAAAAAAAAAAAAAAAAAAAAAACACCCGAAACGCCAAAAAAAAAATGATCCTGACTTCGTATGACTGAGCCTGTTCAATAATGGTACCGGAAATTGCAAGCTTTCGATTTAAACAGAATTGAACAACTAACATGCAATGGTTAAAGTTTGAATTTAGAACATTCGAGAAACATTTCATTTATTTCGATTTAAAACGCTTCAGTACGTCATCGGAAAGCATAGTTAATCACATGTGAACGGGATTTTCAACGAAGGTTTCTGAAATATGTAACTTCTACTATAGACCTTATGTTATTAACATGCAGAAAAAATCACGTTAGAACTCTAGAATGAACGTTATTGCGATAATCTGATAAAAACTCGATAAACTAAATGTGTTGAATAATAAAACAAAAATTGTTTTTATATGCACATTTTTCTAAATGTAAGAATACAGAAACATGACGTGACTTACATCATTTCTAAACTTCTGGCTGTTAGATTGTGAAGTTATTGTAAAGTCCACCATAGAGGCGTCGCTTGTTATGCAATATTCTTTTCTCATCTGAAACCAATGATATTTAACGTTTAGTATCTACAATTAACAATTTGGTTTTATGTTGTAAACTATTAAGCATCAAGTATGTTAATTGTTCAATATTATATTTAATGCTTAAACCTATTGATTTATTATTATGATTTAATATTTTTATATATTATCGCTCTAAGCTTAGTATCTTAATTAAAAAGGGTATTCCTGAACGTCCTTACATATTAGAGGTTTCTATATAAGATTATTGTAATTAGGATTTCACATGATCTATATTCTAGTCGAACACATATGGCAAAATGGACATGCTATAAAAACAGCCGTCGTGCAGAATAATTACAATATGAAAACAAAAATCAGCTAGTAAGTTCGACATTTCTATGGACGCACGCTCCAACAACAACAACAACCAAAAACACAGGGCCATTGGTAAAGAGCCAAGCAGGGCACAAAACATAAACAAGTGTTAGCGCAATGGCAAACACAGATGGAACGCTATTTCAAACAACCCAACATTGGAAATCATCGACTAAACAATAAAGACATTAACGAAAGAAATCTGACTTATTTTTATTAAAATATTTATAGATTCCAACATACCTGTGTTATTCGGGATTCAATTTTAGCTTTAAGATACATTATATGTTCATTTATTCTTTCAAAAGAGGGTGTTAATGCCATATCCATTTCAGGTTGGATACCTTCATCGTTTTGAAAACAAGGCGGCTTTTCATCCGTTACATATCTCCCCTCGAGGGAGACCAAGAACATTTCTAGCACATAAAAAAATCTGAAATTAAAAAGTAAGGGGTTTTAAATCCCCCTAAATAATACAAAAAACAAAACTGGCATCCACCTAAAACAAAAACGAATGAATCGATTGAACTCAATGAAACATTTTTTTAAAAAATCTTGGAAACACGTGATTCATTCAAAGCATTAATACATACTTTCATTTACTTTAAAAAAGTGTTAATCCATATTCATTTAGGGTTGGTACTTCATCGGGTAATGAACAAGGGCTTCATCCTCACTCCCCCGAGGGAGACAAAATTCTCACTAATATCTGGAAATTAAGTAATTTATCCGTAAACCAGAAAATATAAAAAACTTAAGCTTAAACAATTAAGGCAAATATTGGATTGATACCAATGACACCTTTCTTGTTAAAAATCTGGAAACAAAGAGATCCCTCGGAAGCATTAATCACAACAAAATTACATAAGAATTGCAGACTCGGTTTGATTGAGTCTGTACATGAAACTAATGGACAAAGGTACTTGAAAATAGCAAAAAGCTTACAAATACTCTTACATAGAAAATTTCTCATTTTCAAATATTTTCTGTTCAGAAAACGCTATATTTTACCTTAGATGAAAAGTGATCTACTTATATAGTTGTCCAACATAATGTCCGGACATTGCTGCCTACATCTGCAAAAGAAGTGGACGTTAGTCACTAACGCCTCTTTGTCAAAATGTTTGTTAACGGACATATATCCTACGTTTAACTATAACTAGTTTGTAAATATTTCAATGATTAAAATGCCACAGAGTAACCGGATTTAAAACATTAAAGTAATATTTAAGATTTCGGATTTAATTTAACAAAAGGTTAAATACCTTCATATATGACAAAGATAACAAAACATTTAAACGAAATTCCTTCGCCGAAAACCTTGATTATTTCAAAACAAGGTCCTGTTCAAATTGTT